TTATTTTACAAAAAAAATTGAATGGTTTATATATATTTCTCACAAATTTATTCTTTAACTTAATGCTGAATTCAAAGAAGTTCAATAATTAATATAGTGATTAATTTCGTTATATAAACGTATAAAATATGAATATATCCATATTTACCTCAAATCATTTTAAAATATAATATCATCTCCTTCATATCAGTTGAAAAATCCAATTGGTTGGCTTAAAAATAATGGTATGCACTACAATAATCAGTAATATGAAATGATAAAATCAAGTTTGAGTATTCAAAAAGTTTGATGTGAAGTGAGCACCAATACCAACAAATCAAATATTTGCGCAAATCTTTGTGCAAAAGTGCGTTATATTGAATATTTATGGAATTTAACTCGAATATTTAATTCTACGCCGTTGATTTTAGCTGCAGGTAAAGGTCATTCGGAAATTGTTGAAACATTAATCTCACAAGAAAATATTGATATCAATTGCAAAGACATTTGAATCCAAAATCATTCATGAAATTCAAATCTAACATTTTTCATGATATTGAACAATTGAAATATTTATGGAATTATGAAATGAAGTGACTTATAAGGCAGCCATTGACTACGCCAGAGAAAAAAATTATCTTGAAATTGTTGAAATTCTAACGAACGGACCAAATAAACGAATGATGAACTTAATTGAACGAAATAAGAAACTTCATCTCAAAGTTCAAAATCTGCTTCGAGCAGCACATTTGAGTAAGAACGAAGGAAGATCTCATCCATCGGAAAGTCAGAATGAAGCACGAGAGGCAATCGGTGACCTTCAGGAAGAACTGAAGAAGCTGAAGAAATATCTTTCAGCGCTGAACACGAAAGCAGAAGAAATCGAAATTGTCGACATCAACGAATTCGAAGAAGTTTCTGTGATTGGTGAAGGTGGCACATCAAGTGTGAAGGAAGTGATTAAGAGAGAACGATATGCGAAGAAAGAACTGAAAGAACTGAGCCATGATAAGCGTCAGCGATTTCTTGCAGAATGTGAAACTCTGAGCAAACTTCATCATCCGTGCATCATCGACATCGTTGGTGTGAACTTTGGAGACGGAGATCATCCGCCATCGATCATCCTTTCGCTTGAACCGAAATCGCTTGAGTCAGCGATCTCGAACAAGGAACTTGAAAACGACGACAAGAACCGAATCACTGTTGAAATTGTTCTTGGAATGCGCTACATCCACAAGCGAAACTTCATGCATCGTGACCTGAAGCCGACGAACATCCTTCTGAGCAAGAACAACGAAGTGCGAATCAGCGACTTCGGCCTTGCGAAGTACGACGACATTTCATGCTCGCAGACGAAGGGCGTCGGCACACTTCGCTTCATGGCGCCGGAACTTTGCGAAGACGGTGAAGTCAGCACGAAGTACACGAACAAAGTCGACGTTTACTCATTCGGAATCACACTGATGTACATCATCACCGAAAGATGCCCGCCATTCAGCATGAGAAACGTCGTCCTTGGAATCGTTCCAACGATCCCAGCAACAGTTGTTGGCTGGGTTTCGTCTCTGATCGTCCGATGCCTTTCGCCAGAGAGCGAAAAACGTCCGTCATTCGACGAAATCTTCGAAGAGCTGAAATCGCACAACTTCGACATGCTCAGTGACAAAAAACTGACGAGCAAGCAGCAAAGCATGAAACAAACGATCGAATCACGGGTTCTTGAGATCGAAGCCTTCGAATACCAACATCTATAAAACTAACATCTTCAGCTAAAAACTTCTTAATTTATTCTTTATTCTTTTTCTCTCACTTTTTTGTGAATAAAATTTATTCTTTATTCAATTTTATTCACAAAAAGTGGATGCTTAAAAAAAAAAAAGAATTAGAATTTTGTTAAAAATAGTTTATTTGGTTAAAATTATTATGTTAAAAATAAAATTTAGAATTCAAACTAATATGAATTCAAAAAATAAGAAACTGAAATTATCTGATAAATCTTATTTTTTGATTCTTATATTAAAAAAGCTTAGTAATAGATGTAGCATCATTTAGGAATTGTACATGCATAAATCTCTCCAAAAAAAAAAAGAAATATGAATAAAAAATTTAACAATTATGATTAATAGAAAAATTATTCTCAATAAGATTCATCATTTTTTAAAACATCATTACATCAATCAGTAATTATTTTCTTACCAAATAAAGCTGTATATATTATTCTTTTATTATTCTATCTTTGATAAATTCTATTTACAAAAACTGAATTTACCATAAATTTATCGTTTATAATTGAATGCCTAAATGGTTAACCTCTCATTTTTTTGTATAAATGGTTGATGATAATATAATTTTTTGATGAAAAATTAATATTTCAAATTTAAATGTTTCAGTAATATATAAAAAAATATGTAATATAGAGTATATAAGTAAGATTTTATTTTCAATATAACTCTCAAAAAATAAATAAACATTCAAAATTTTCAATAAAAAATTTCAAGTATATAGGAAGGGAAAATATTAAAATATCAATAATTTTATATATAATTTTATTTTTGGTGTAAAAATCATAATAATACTATTTCAAATATTATTTGATAAATTCAATGATGATACAAAAATTCCGATATTAAATATGATTTCATTTTAATTTATTGCAATGTCAGAGAACCTAATTGATGATAAAGATAATTCTCAAGTAGAAGACGTCAAAGATGATATTAAAGAAATCAAAGAAGAAATACGTCAAGAAAAGAAAGATGAAAAAGAGAACAAAAAAGAAGAACGTGAAAAAGCCAAAGAAGATAAAAAGCGTGAAAAAGAACAGCGTAAAGCAGAAAAGAAACATGAGAAGCTTCAAATGAAAATTGAAAAACTCCATAGAAAATATCATAACAACGATGGAGCAGATGACGAATATGTAGATGCACCTGAATTTCCACCATTTGATGAATCACATGTCAACGAAGGAATACGTCTTGAATCAGAATCAGAATCACAACAATCAATTGATATAAGTACTGTTCGTTCTGATGTTCAATTTAGTATGTGGGCAAATACCAGTGAAGAGCAAGAGTAATTAAATTAATTTTGTTGTATTTCTTTTAGATTTTATAAAAAATTGAAGAGGAGGAATCCTCTCTAAAATCTTAGATGTATTTTTTTATTTTCATTTTAATAGCTTGTTGAATTGAGATGTGTGCTCATTTGGAAAAAAATAATATAAAAATTTCAAATTTTATTTTATTTTATTTTTTTTTTTTTTTTTTATACTAAATTGTATGAAACATGATCTTTTTCATTAATTTTTAAAGTGTGTATTGGGGCATTGTATGAAAATTGGTATAATTAAGAATGATTTGAAAGTCTAAAAAGTTTTTGCTAGTTTGAATTTCTTTAAGAAATAGGAGATACAAATTCAAACCACAAGTTGCAAAGAGCAAATATTGTAGCATAATTATGTTTGAAATTAAAAGAGGGAAAAATCATTGGTTTTCTTTTTCTAAGCTTAATAAAATGCTATAATCGATTTATATTTAAGATTTTGTGATAATAATTGAAATTTTTTGGAATTCGTACATAGATAATGAGTATTTATAATTATATTTACAAAATTTTTTAGGAAATTATTGATATGTATAAAAATTAAACAAATTATATAAAAAAATATAGAAATGCAATTTCTTTTTCAAAGAAATGCTAATTTTATTTTTCCAAAATTATGAAATTTTTGAGAGAAAAATAAAAATATTTTTGGCCAATGATTATTTAATAATGCTTGAAATTTTAATTATTTATATCAAAAAATTCTGAGATTTTGAAATAAAATTCTCTAATAAATTGGAATCCACATAAAAGCATTCAATTTGGCTAATAAAATCTTTTTTTAAAAAGAAAATACATTCTTCATAAAAATTGATTCATTTTTAATAATGAACCAAGAAGTTTTCATAGGGAAAATTATTGGTAACTACAAAATTGTGAAAAGGATTGGAGAAGGAACCTATTCTTCAGTTTTTCTTGCACAAGAAATTTCGTCACAACCAGATCAATCAAAAGACAATAATCAAAAAGTCACACCTCATTACGTTGCATGCAAAATTATATCCAACAAACAAATAAAACACAAGACAGTTGCCAAAAGACTTGCATCAGAAATAAAAAATCATCAATTAATGAAACATCCAAATGTGGTTCAATTGATAGATGTTTTAAAGGACAATTCTTATTTTTACATAATCCTTGAATTTTGTCTTTATGGAGAGCTTTACAAAACAGTTTATGAAAAAGGCAAATTAGATGAAAAAGAGGCTTCCTTTTATTTCAAACAAATTCTTCTTGGAATTCAATACATACATTCATTAAACATAACACATCGTGATTTAAAGCCTGAAAATATTCTTATTGATCAATATGGAAAGATCAAAATTACAGATTTTGGATTATCAAAGTTACTTGATTCAGAAAGCAATGGAATGACCAAAACTCCTTGTGGATCACCTTGTTATGTTTCACCTGAATGCATCAGTTGCCTTCCCTATGATGCTAAAAAAAGTGATATTTGGTCATGTGGTGTTATTCTGTATTCAATTACAACGGGCCACCTTCCATGGACCAAAAAAAGCCAATCAGAATTATTCGAACAAATTAAAGTGGGAAAATATACAGTCCCTACCAATGTTTCTGAAAGTTGTTCTGATTTAATCAAAAAATTAATGGAAATCGACGTTAGCAAGAGGATTTCGATAGAAGAAGCATTAAATCATCCATTTCTGAAGGAAAACGATTATAATGAAATAAAACTTGGATCAAAGAAAAGTAATGATCTTCAATTCAGTGGATATGAGAAAGTTCTCAATTGTTTATCAGAAATTCAAGCGAACAAAGATTCAGCTTTGATAAAAATTAGAAAAGAATTCCAAAATGAAAGTGATAAAGTTATTCCAACTGTTTGATTAATAAATATAGAAATAATCATTTTATTTTATTTTTTCATAAACAAAGTTTAATATTAAATAACAGTACCTCTCTTAGCTTAATGGTTAAAGCAGGCGGCCGTAAAGGATAGTGGTTACCGCTTGATGTTGGTTCGATTCCAGCAGAGAAGATTTTTTTGCTTTTTTTTTTTTTTTTTTTGAAGACAATTGATTTCACTTTTAACAATTTATAATTTGAAAAAAAAAAAAAAAAAAAAAAAAAAAAAGTTTAAAAATGTAAAGAAAGCATGAAAATTCCGAATTTCTGCATCATTACTCAAAGTTGATATTTTTATGATCAATTGATCAAATATATTGTTGAGCTGTTATTTTCTATGATTTAAGCACTTTCAAAAAAGATTTATAAAGAAGAATATCTTGGAATAGTAATTAATCACATTTGTTATCTTATTCTATTGAATAAAAGAAAATGATTATTTTTTTTAAAAAAATGAATTTTTTTACTTATTCATTAGAATCAGTCAATGAAAGAGGATTGTCAACTTGTTCATTTTCTTGTTCTTCTGACTTTTTCCTATTCAACGTGAAGGCGATTCCAGCGACTACGATAGCAGCTGCAGCCAGGCAAGTAATTTTCCATTCATTAGACACGTGTTTCTCATTATTTTTCTCTTTCATGTACTCGAAGACCTGATTCCTCAAGTTGATGCTGATGTAATCATCAGCCCTATCAACTCTCACTGACTTTTTGAATTCCTCAGAAAACCTGCAATTTTTCACGTCAATTTTTGATGCCTCCTTTGAAGCAACCGAGCCACTGATATGATGTGATCCGACAGCCAAATATCCATTGAAAACCGAATCTTTCAATTCAACTTTCACATCACTTCTTGCTCCGAAATAGAACAACGAACAGTCTGACTCATTTGAGATCTCAAAAGTGCATCTTGACAGCGTTACCAACCTTCTGCTGCTGTATCCATTCAAAAGTAATGCTCCCGAGTCTTTTTCTTTGAATTTCTGGTAGATCTTGACAGCGCCGCCAAATCCAGTGTTTCTAAAGAATACGTTTTCGACGCAATTTGAGTTAAGGCAAGTCAAGAACAGCGCAGAACCGCCGAAAAAGTCTTCGTTTTTGCCAGCCAAGGCTTCATTTTTGGTGAAGTTGCACCTGACGATGTTGATTGTTGATCTCTCTGAGACACAGTAAAGATAGACAGCTCCACCGCATTTTGCCTTGCACTCATCAAACACGAGATCTTGCAAGTCGTAATCGACTTGGTATTTGAAGTTGTTTTCGAGATAAACAGCTCCACCCAAATCATTCCTCGACTCGCATTTCTTGAATGAAGACATAGTGCATTGGAATCCAGTGTTAATCAAACGAATTGCAGCACCGCATTTTTTATCCTTATTAGAATCAGTAAGACCAGTGAATTCAGTGATAGTAATTACAACATTATATCTTTCATCTTCATTGTTTTCATATAAGCATCTCAATGCATCTCCATCTTTACAGAATGTTTCGTTAAGTTCAATCTGTAATGGCGTTGGCTCTGGTGTGTACGATGGTGTTGGTGTCTCCGATGGTGGCGGTGCATCGAGATAATAAACGTAGTAAATGGTGGCTGTATCCATGATTGTGAATGATACTGGATATGAATCGTATCTCATGTTTATTGATTCATACATCAGCACTGCATCATATCGCTTTGGGTGTGGATCATCAACTTTGGAGTTGATTATCTGATCACGAATTGCATCGCCAACATTGAGAATAAGATTGCCATGCCATGAACACTTAGTTCCATAAACCCAAAGATGTGAACAATGAACTTGTGCAACAGCTGTTTCATTAACGCCTCCTTTTTCAGTGTAAGCACGAATGCCACCAATTGTATCACTTTCTTCTTGCCATGTTCCTTCTCTCTTGAAGTCAGTGATATTCACTCTTCTGGCAAGCAATGTAGGCCAATAAACAAGCTTGTATAACTTGAAGAGTCCACTTGTTCCTTCAATTTTAATTGTGTGCTCTGAATAGCTCAAATCATCAGATAAATAAAGAATAGTAAATTCATCTGTGTTCGCTGCATTTGCATTAATCTCAATTGGTTCTGTATCTGAATCAATAATGAGATGAAACTTGTCATAATTCGATGCTCGTGCTCCAATCAGTGCAAATTTTTCACCTTTAAAAGTGTAGTTATATTTACCTGTACTTGTTGAGCATTTGGTTCCACATTGGTAAGCTTTAGGTGTGTCAAGATCTGTTACTGGACATTCGTTTGAGTAACAAATGATGTCTCCTTCTTTGTTCATTTGATCAAGTTGAATGGAGATCGGAATAGCTGAAGGTGTTGGAATTGGTGATGGCACTTCAATGTAGTAAATATAATTCAAAGTTGCTGTGTCCATTATTGTGAATTTCACTGTTTTTTCATCTGTTCTAAAGTCTCCTGATTCATATATTAGAACAGCATCTAATCTTTGACCATCAATGTGCTCATTAATAGTTTCATGAATAGCATCACCAATGTCAAGAATAAGATTGCCATGCCATGAACACTTACTTCCATAGACCCAAACATGTGAACAATGAATTTGTGCAACAGCTGTTTCATTAACGCCTCCTTTTGCAGTGTAAGCACGAATGCCACCAATTGTATCACTTTCCTCTTGCCATGTTCCTTCTCTCTTGAAGTCGGTGATATTTATTCTTTTAGCTCTCAATGACGGCCAATAAATGAGCTTGTACAACTGGACATTCTCATCAATGGCCTGCACTTTGATTGTGTGCTGCTTGTATTGCAAATCATCAGAGAAGTAGATCAATGCATTCTCTTGATAATTGTCCTTGTTTGTGTCAATTTCGATTCTCTTTGAATCAATTTCAAGAGCAAACTTGCCATATGAAGGAGAGTAAGAACCAATGATTCCAAACTTTTCACCATAGAAATTATATGTAAAAGTGCCACTGTACGTTATTGACTTAGGACCACAATTGTAAGCAGAAGGAGAATCTAAATTAGTTGTTGGACAAGCATTGTTCTTATAATATTTGATCACTCCTTCTTTAGTCATGCTGTCAAATGGAATGGAGACTGGAATAACAGAAGGTGTCGGAATTGGCTTCTTACTTTCATCATCATCAATATAATAAATGAAATTCAATGTGGCTGTTTCTTTAATTGTGAATTTAACAGTGTAGTTGTCTTTCACAAATTCAGGAGATTCAAATAATAGCTCCGAATCAAGCCTAGAATCATCACTAGTCAAATTTGGATCTTTTTCATTCAATTCGGCTTGAATGTCACCAATGTCAGCATTCAGTTTTCCATGCCATTCACAGATTGTTCCATAGACCCACACTTTAGAGTAAGGGAATTGTGCGACTGCAACTTCATCCAAACCGCCAGATAATGTATAAGCACGCAGTCCTCCAATTAAATCGGTTTCAATTGTCCAATTTCCAGACAATGAAAAGTCAGTGATATTCATTCTTTTTGCTGTTAATGAAGGCCAGAAGACAAGCTTGTACAATTGGATCTTTTGGCCATCTTTGCCTTGTATTTTGACAGTATGTTTATGATATGATAAATCATCAGAAACATAGACTAAAGAGTACTTTTCAGTTGTTTCTCTGTTTAAATCAACAGAGCCAACATTTTGATCATCAATAGAAATGTCAAATGCACCATTTTCTTTTGAACAAACACCAAAGATACCGAATTTAACACCAGTGAAGCTGTACTCAAAAGAGCCACCTGTAGTCGTGCACACTTCTCCACATTGATATTGTTCTTCTGAATCAGGATTGTAATTGACTCCTGTACAATTGTTTGGTGTGCATTCCATTTCTGTTTTGTTCATCTTGGCCGAGCGAATAGAAATAGGAATCGGTTCTGGTGTTTGCAGTGGCAGTTCTTCATAATAAATGTAGTTCAATGTTACTGTTTGCTCAAGATTGATTTCAAACTTGTAATTGCCAACAGTAATTAATGGTGATTCAAACAGCAACTCTGAATCAAGTCTTAGATCATCGTTGTTGTATCTTGAGTCACGTTCACTGAGCTCTGCTTGGATGTTGCCATATGTAACATTGAACTTGCCATGCCAACTGCAGATTGTTCCATAGAGCCAAATCTTGGAGAATCGAATGTCAGCTGTTGCTTTATCACTTGAGTCATCGGCTTCTGTGTAAGCGCGAATACCGCCAATTAAATCTGTCTCGTATTTCCATTTTCCTGTTCTAGTAAACTCAGTGATGTTCATTCTTTTAGCTTTCAATGATGGCCAAAAGACAAGCTTGTAAATTTGGTATTTCTTACCTCCGCGGCCTTCAATTCTAACGGTGTGTTTGCCGTACTTCAAATCATCGGATACATAAGAGATTGTGTACTTAGCTGTCGGAAACTTGGCAGTGTCAACTTCACTTACCTTCTGGCCATCAAGTAAGATGTTGTATTTGCCATTTTCTTGTGAATAAGCACTGTAGATACCAAACTTGACACCAATAAACTTGTATTCAAAAGAGCCACTTGTTGCAGAGCATGCTTCTCCACATGTATAAGTGCTTTCTTCATTTGGCTTGTAGTTATTCACATTGTTATTAATGTTTTGACAGTTATTTTGGCCACAAGTTACATCACCTTCTTTTTTCATCTTGGCTGATCTGATTGAGATTGGAATGGCTTCAAGCAAATTAATGGCTGGCTCTTCAATGTAATAAACATAGTTCAGTGTTGTCGTGCTTGTCATTGTGAACTTGAAGCCTGTACTTGGTGACAATTCCGGGGATTCATACAATAATGCTGAATCAAGTCTGGTGTTGTCATCATATGGACCATATGCATTCAATTCGGTCTGGAACGACTCAATGCTGAGGCTAAACTTACTGTGCCAGTTGGCTATCGTTCCGTAGACCCAAAGCTTAGAGAAACGTATATTAGAATACGCGGTGTCGGTTGTACTATCACCTTCGGTGTATCCTCTGATACCTCCAATTAGGTCCGTTTCAAAATGCCATGTTCCTGTTCTTTCCATCTCAGTCAAGTTCATTCTTTTGGCTTTCAAGGAAGGCCAAAAGACAAGCTTGTAGATTTGAAACTGCTTGTCACCTTTGCCTTCAATTTTCACCTTGTACTCTTGGTACGTTAAATCATCTGACATGT